CTCTTCTTGGGCCAGGTGCTTCCCGTGGTGAATATGCACTGCTTATCAGAAACCAGTGCCAGCAGAGCTCCTTGTAGTCTGCAGAGAAAGCTTACTCCGAGCCTTTTGGGACAAAGTGCCTTTTCTTGAGTGCTAATCTTTGTTGTCCCTGTTCTCTTGTGACAGGGGAATATGATGAACATACCTTTTCTTACATTTGCAAGTCACCTATTAGTGTGTGGGGATAGAAATGCAGAGGTGCGCCTTTAGCAAGCTGGGCTGGTGTTCATGGTGGTGTCTCCTGAGAAATGCTGCTTGGTGTCTGGTCCACTACTTTGAAGACTGAGTGGAAGTCAGCAGGAGCTGGCCCTCTCCTCCTGGGCAGCTGCTTCTGGAAGAGTGCACCTCCTGTGAGGGGACCAAATGGGAGAAGTTTATTTATTCACGTTTATCACTTGCCCAGAAAATGAATCATCTCTAGTGCTCATCCCACACTGTCTGAGTGTTGTCCCTCTTGCATCCGTGGTTTGGTGGCTGCCTCACTCTGCTGGGCAGGGTGAGCTGACAGTTGACTAGCTTGCTTGTCCAGCAACACCTAAGGATGGAAGCTGCATAAAGTGGGAGCTCATGTTGGCCTGGGTGGGGGTCAGTGTGAGGTAATTGAGTCTTAGTGTGTGAGCCCCTTTCTGTTTGTTTTAAACAGTGAGTCTGCAAGCATCAACATAAATAGGAGCCACTTCCACTCTCATATTTCAGAGCATTTTCACAGTGTTTATAACTGCTAACAACGTTTCAGAGATAGCAGAACCCAGGCTTCCAAGATTTGCACATTTTGGGTTATGAGATGCTCGAGCTTGTGTATTGTAAAAAAGGTTTAGAAACTCCTTTGCGTAGTTGTGCTTTGGACTGTAGCAAAGTTTAGAAGAAAATGTCTAATTATGCCTGGATTTATTTTATAAATTGGGACCATTTCAGCAGTCTGTGTGGCCTTCCATTCAGCTGTTTGTTTAAGCCAAGTGAAAAGCCACTTATCTAAAGATGATTTATTCTCACTCTTGAGCTGACAGAACCAGGCTGGGAAGGGTGGAAGCTGAATTGTAGGGTTTAGTCTGAGACCCTGTCTTCGGTCAAACCGTAAGGGAAGCATGAAGGGCTGGACATAACATTGTTGTGGAAGGTACTTGCAGGTCTCTTGTACGTTGCTTGTTGGACACCTTTTTAAAATAAACAGCTATGCTATGTGATTGACTCAGATTTGAACTTTGCAGCTATTCCCTCCTATCTGCCTGGTATGCCAAAGCAAAACCCTGCAGCTCAACATCTCTAAAATCAAAACCTTAATTCAAATATAATTTGGATCAGCTTCTGACTTTCTGGTTTTGGCAGTGTAAGCAAAGTGGAGGCAAGTGTGTTTCTTTATCTAGTTCAGAAAAATAGATGTTATTTATTTTCTTAGAATTATAGAATCGTTTAGATTGGAAAAGACCTATAAGACCATCAACTCCAACTGGTAATCTAACACTGCCAAGTCCACCACTAAACCATGTCCCTAAGCACCACAACTACCCATTTTTTTAATACCTCCAGGGACTCAACCACTTCCCTGGGCAGCCCATTCCAATGCTTTATAACCCTTTCAGTGAAGACATTTTTCCTAATATCCAGTCTAAACCTCACCTGGCACAACTTGAGGCCATATCCTCTTGTCCTATCACTTGTTACTTGGGAGAAGAGACCGACCCCCACCTCCCTACAGCCTCCTGTCAGGCAGTTGTAGAGGGCGATCAGGTCTCCCCTCAGCCTCCTCTGCTCCAGGCTGAACAACCCCAGTTCCCTCAGCTGCTCCTCACGGGACTTGTGCTCCAGACCCCTCACTAGCCAGTAAGCATATAGCAGTGTTGTGTAGCAAAAGGCAACAGCTGAATAGTCTTAGTTAGAGATGTGAAAGTATAACTTGAGGCAGAGTATCTGGCTGTCAAAATTACATCTAGAGGGGAAGAAAGTTTTAGTGATATTTTTAAGATGTTAGATTAAAACAGCCAAAAGATTTTTGCATTCAAAAACTCAGTTTTATTCTCTTTGGATGCTGTGAGGACCTGATGTTCTCACTGACATCTTTTCACTGCGCTAGACTTCACTTAATGCAGAGACTGACCGTGAGCATGACTAAGGGAGCAGAGCCTATGTGATTGAATGCAATAGTAAAAATAGGGGGAGGCCCAAATGACTAAGGGGCAAGCCTCCTTTTTGTAGTCTGCTTATCCAGAATTATTTTGAATGAGTTAATACCAAAGGGGTTAAAGAACTGTTGTGTATTTTTAATTTGGGCTGTCAACACAAATATTTTGACAGTTGGTCAGAAGTGGATATTGAGTGGCATGCTGTGAAGAACATACAGTTCTGTCATGGAAAAAGCTTGTCAAGGGATGGGAAACTGAGAGAAGGAATAAACAGCCAGTTTTCAGCCTTGCAAGGGCCTAGCTTGAGTTTCTGTTGAGCAAAAATGGAAGAAAAGGGGTGAGCAGAGTGCTGGAGGGATGCTTCATGAAGCACAGTTATTTAGCACAGTCTGTATCTGGAAGCGCTTCAATGTATGGCACAAACATGCTGTTGGAGCCACATGAGACTTGGTTAGGTTAGTTTGGAAACTGAAGGCGGGGTGTGTTTGAGGGAGAAGGTGAACTATGCAAGTGTGACTGAACTGTGCTTTCCTTGCTAAGTCTCATGAAGAAGAAATGCCCCTGCCCCTTCTCTGGTCTTTATATGTTTCTGTCCATCTACTCACAAAAAGGAGTTGTAGGTGGGTGGCGCTCCCATTTGAGGAGCATAGTGCAAGAATGAATTTATGCAGAAGTTCTCCCATGAAAAAGGGTATGTTGCACTGGAGATACATTTTGTGCTCATTACCTGGGAAAAGCTGAATTGTGAAGGTTTCGTTGGAAAGCAAAGTATTTTCTGTTGAACTGTAGGTATTGATGATATTTACTAACCTTCAGGTGCTGTGAAGGTTCCCTGTGTTGCAAAATGGGGAACTGTATGTTCCAGTATATTTGCATTTCAAATGGAAAAGAACACCCTGATTTGGTCTTTTCTTCTGATTCTAATATAGCATCCCAAGTTTGTGCCACGTTTTTATGGCTGCTAGTGCTCATCTGGAATTTCCTACAGCAAAAGTAGTAACAGCTATGATGGGTGTTCAACTCTTATGTCCCTTGCACCTCCATTAAATAAAGATGAGGAGTTTACACGGGTGTGGTGCTTGCACAGAAATACAGATTCTAGAGCTTTTTGGAACTTCTCTTACAAAGACATTTACTATTAAATTCTCTTTAATCGTGCAGATGACATCAGAGTAATGTAGGTTTGTAGTGGACATTTCCTACATTCCAGTTGTTATTTAAAGTGGAAATACTGAGAGAATTAACTTTTTTTTGGCAGGCTGACACTTCAGCTCTCTGTTATTACAAAGGGTGTATTCGAGTCATCAGTATGTCAGGTTGCTTGAAAACTTCATGCTTCCCCCCAAAAAATGGAAAATGAGCTGAACTGTTACCTCAGTATGGCTGAAAGCACAACTAAATATACTTTGCCTTTTCTTAAGGCAATGCCCTAACATCAAATGGAGACAAACACAGCAGCTTAAGTCCATGTTTATGCTAGTACCATAGATCTAGACTAGAAAGAGTAATGTGGATAAAATCTTGTGGGTGATTCACTACAAGTAGTATAGGAGGGAGTAGAAATTGCTGGATGAAATTCTGAATGTGTTAAAGCTGTGGGTGTGTGTTTCGTTTTGCATTCAGTGGGACTAGGATTCAACGACTGGGCTCAAAACTCCTAAGAAGTTAAATACCAGCCCCATGACAAACCTAAAAAAAAAAATTGGGGATGTCTGTTTTTCTGGCATCTGCTGACCCCTTTGTGTTTGGCAGCAGCTCAGCAGTGAGGTCCAGATCTGGTTCTCAACTCTCTTGCCTCCAGTTCATCGTCGGTATTTTGGTTTTTGTGAGGAAAACTTGGAAGTGCTACGTTCTCATCACAGAGGGGGTAACATGAGGGCATTTCCTGCTCCCCCCTTTCTTTCAAGCAACACAGCTTCAGTTCAAGCACAAAGGAGTGTGCAATGACCTGTTTGTTATTTTAAGGCCAATATTTGGATATGAGTTGGAAGTATAGTGATCCCCGATTGCCTCTTATACTAAGATAAGTGTAACTCTGGGAATGTCATCAGCTACTGTTGAAAGGCAGCGTAAGGGCTTGGTGAAAGCCCTGGGGAATGTTTTGCTGCAGTCCCAGCGCACGCAGGGCTGTGGAAGCGGGGAATTGAGAGGAGTCAGGAAGCTCAAGGCTGACTGGCAACCCCTCTGGCCAGGGCTCTTGGCCACTTGGCAGCGACTGGGGTCTTTTTCCGCAGATTCCTGTTTACAGTGGCCTAAGTCACCCGAGGCTGCCGGTCTTGGCATCAGTTCAAGATGAGGTGTGTGATATACCTGCAGGCAGATTGCTTTTCTGAAATGCTGGTGCAAATCTGGATACAGAAGTCAGGGAAGCACCACTCCTGGAAAAGCCAGGCTTCAAAGGGATGGGCTGTGTCACCACGTCACAGGGCAGGCTGTCCCCAGCTGCAGTCCTGTTTGCCGCCTCTCGAGGCTGGGGTTGGCTCAGCTGCAGTCAAGCAGAAACCCAGCACGTTGGAACAAGGTTCCTTCATTGCCCCTTGCACCAAGGTGCCCATGGCATGCGGAGCTGTGCCCAGCTTCCTTCCCGAAAGCGTGCCGTGCCTCCCCAAACTGAAGGCAGGAGCTGCACATCTGTGAAACTGCTTAAACGTGTATGAACATTTTGCTGGGTAACTGCCAGCAACCTTGGTAATTTCGACCAGAGGAAGATGATGGGGGCGTGGTGGTAAAAGTGGGTGGGACCGCTGGGTGTTGCTCAGACCTTTGCTTGCAAAGTGCTTGACAAACACCCACAATGGGATGGGGCAGAGCAGATACTGTAAGTATGGCTGGGCAGCGGGAGATTAATTGCTCCCCTGGGACAAACTGGGGAGGTTTCCAGCAGGCTCTGTTTGACGGGCCCTTGTTAAAAGCTTTTGCATGTTGAATGTGGATCTGTACGAGATCTTGGCTCGTTGTGGGGGTGGAAACGAAGACTTTTTTCTCACTGCTAATGCGTTGTCTCTTTTTTCTGTTAGGTGTGTGATGTCAAACAGTGGGCAGTCCTTGCGGCCTCCCCCGCCAGCCTGCAGTGTCATGTGCCAGTATGAACATTAAGAAGGAAAACCGTACTTCAGAGCTCAGCATCCCAGAAAGAAGAAAGGAGGAACTGACTGCATTGCTTGTAAAACTTGGGGCCGTTCACTTTTTCTCCTGAGAAATTTCATCTTGGCCTTTGTGAGAGAGCTGAAAGAGCAGGCAGAGCAGCCGCAGTGATTTTCTTAGGGTCCTTTTTTTCTTTCTTAATTTAATTTTTTTCCCCCTCGTGCCTGGATTTTAAGACTGTCAGCTGCACTGATCACAAGCACTGGACATCAATATGTGTCATGTCATTGTAACGTGTCGGTCGATGCTATGGACTCTCCTGAGTATTGTGGTGGCTTTTGCAGAGCTCATTGCTTTCATGAGTGCGGACTGGCTGATAGGCAAAGCAAAGCCTTCAAGCTCGGAGGATGTGGACAACAGAACGGGGGGGTCGCAGGAGCCTTACCATCCGACGCTGGGCATTTACGGGCGCTGCACCAGAATCTCCCACATGCAGCTTTCTAGACGAGACACGCTTTGTGGTCCTTACGCCGAAAACTTCAATGAGATTGCCAGTGGGTTCTGGCAGGCAACAGCTATTTTCCTAGCCGTGGGAATCATGATTCTCTGTGCTGTGGCGTTTGTGTCTGTCTTTACTATGTGTGTGCAGAGTATTATGAAGAAAAGCATTTTTAATGTCTGTGGGCTGCTACAAGGGATTGCAGGTACGTGTACTTTGAAAGCAACTGAAGATTTTAATTTGAGGGCCATTCAGCTGAAGAAATACAGCAGTTCTATCCTGTCTACAGACAGGCTGCATTAGGCAGACCCGAGGCAGTTCTATATGCTGGTGTTTATTCAAACACAACTGAAATCTATAGCTACACAGCATGCAATACATTGACATTGGCAGCAGAACTGCAACCTGATGTGTGCCAAAATGAACTGACCAGTGTTGCTTTTGTTTGTTGTTCAGTTTTTTCCCTCTGTTTGAATTTCTTTCAGTAAGAAAAACTTCTCTCCTTTGTTACCAGCAGAGAGCAAAGTTAATACCCACGTTAAGGCAGTCTATCTCCCTCTTGCTACTTTAGTAATTTTTCCATGGACCAAAGGCAGTTCTCTCAGTGTCTCAGAGGCTTCATGACTGTGGTGAGAGCAAATACCACCCCTGGGATAAGAACAGCCTGCAGTCGCACAGCCAGTTCTCCGTCGTTTCATGCTAAGCAGCCTCCTTCAAGGCTGTAAGCTTGACAAGCTATATCTTATGATAAAGCTTTCTTTTAGCCAGCTTATTGTTCAGCTGCAGTTACACAGCCCAGTGAGCTTACATCCTCACTGTCCAAATATCAGCTGTGCTTTGCCTGAAAAGACAAATTGGTTCTAGAGATTTGGCGTTTCTGTTTAAACCCATGGATTTTACAGAGATTAAATGACTGTTAGTAAACCGATGCTGGACAGCCCTAGTTAGGGAAGTATTTGGCTTTCTGTACTCACCAGCGAGCTGTGGGGAGAACCTGTCCCATATGCAGGTTTTCATCTTCTGTGCTTGTGGTCATCTGGGCGGGCAGAGTGGTCTTCTGCCCTACCTCTGGCAGCCCTCAGAGACCTGTGAGGAGAGAGGGAATGAG